TTCATGCTCTGTCTCTCTCTGTCTCAAAAATAAAGGTTAAAAAAATTTTTTTTTTATTTTTTTATTTTTTATTTTTTTTTCTCCGTTTTTATTTATTTTTGGGATAGAGAGAGACAGAGCATGAACGGGGGAGGGGCAGAGAGAGAGAGGGAGACACAGAATCGGAAACAGGCTCCAGGCTCCGAGCCACCAGCCCAGAGCCCGACGCAGGGCTCGAACTCACGGACCGCGAGATCGTGACCTGGCTGAAGTCGGACGCTTAACCGACTGCGCCACCCAGGCGCCCCCAAAAAATTTTTTTAATAAAAAAAATAAAAAAGACTGGAACAGTCCAGAGTTTTAATCAAAGAAGGTGGCGTTCAGTTGCTGCCCACAATAGCTGATACCCCAGGGTTTGGAGTTGTAGCTGATGAGGTCGTTGCTGGTAGTCCATTATTGACTATGTCGATAGTAAATGGGAAGTCTACCTAAGCGGAGAGTGTCTAGTCCACAGACATCGGAAGCCTGATAACAGGGTGCGGTGTTGCCCTTGAAGACACGGACTTAAACCATTGGACACCGGGTTTATGAAAAAGTGAACGTCATCCCACTTATTGCCGAGAGCAGACATGCTCACACCAGAGGTGTGCCAAGGGTTTAAAAAACAGATAAATCCAAGCACATAAAAAGAAAACCTACGAATTTCCAGAAGCAGAAGGTGGAGAAGAAGGAAAGCTTGTTAACAACCCAAAGGACTGTTTACCTCCTGCTATGGCAGGGCGCGATGATGTGAGAGGAGTTAACTGCAGAAGGGTCAGAGGAAGGCGGCATCCTTGCATGCTGCTGGAGCTGAGAATGGTGATGTTTGAGGTTTTGCAGTTCTAAGAAGTAGGTTGACAACACGTGTGCAAGGCTTGAAAGATGTCACTGATCACGTATGCCCAGACGCGTGCAGAAGCAGGAAATGGCAGCTGTGTCTGTTAGTGGAGCGGGCACCAAGAGCAAAGGGCAGCCTACCCAGAGCTCTCGGGGCGTGAGTGGAAGGAGGGAGAGTGTGTGGCTAAAGGTGAAGAAGGAGCTGCAGGTGCAGCAGGTGTTTGAGATGAGAGCCGGAGAAAAAGGTCGAAAACCGAAGGACTCTGAAGCTGAGCCCCAGCAGTGCCACGAGCAAATGAAAGACCAAACCACCCACAATTGGGGGGGGGGGGGAATGTTGTCGGTTTGAACATGAGAACGCGCACTGGGAGTCCATCAACAACACATTTTAGAGTAACCTGACTCTTCCAGAACCCTGGGAAAGAACAAGAGGAAAGGGAAGCTCTTTTTAAGCTTTCTGTTGGCCACCAATTACAGGAAGGCTGTGATCCATTTCTAAATAAGTTTTGTGGATGATATGCAGTAGGGGTTAAAGGTCATTTATTTCCCTATATGGAGAGCCTCTGTTGAAAAGACTGTCTGTTGCTGGTTGAATTCTGTCAGTACCCTTTTTGGAAATCAGTTGACCACATATGTGCAGGTTTAATTCTAGACTCTCACTTCTTTTCCCTTGAGCTGTATGTCTGTGTTTGAGCCAACACCACACTGACTTGTTTGCTGAACCTTTGTAGAAATTCTTAGGCCAGAGGGCCTCAGTCTTCCAACTTTGTGATTCTTCCAAATTGTTTTGGCTCTTCTAGGTCTTCTTTTCTGTATAAACTTTCAAGTTGGCTTGATGATTTCTACAAGAAAGCTTCCTGGGATCTTGATGAAGATTACACTGAGTTTATGGACCAGTTTGGGCACAGTGGATATCTTAGTGTTGAGTGTACCAGTCCATGAACATGGTATATCTCTCCATGTATTTAGATCTAACTTAATTTCATGGATAGGAAGATTCAATATGTATCATTTTTAATGGCTGTGCCGTAGACAGAGTGTGGTTGTGTCCTTGTTTATCTAACCGCCTGTTGTTTATTTACCTTGCATCCAGTTCCCCCATTATAAACAGTGCATATCTTTGTCAGTCCATCTTTGCATGCATCCTGAATACTTACTTAGAAAAAAACCTGGGGCCAGGTGAACCCTCTTGGCTCTTCTTTGCTACCTGCCTTATTTAAACTAGTGCTTTGTGTTCGGTGAAACATGGAATCTTGGTGATCCGGGCTTGTTTTTATGAGGCCCCAACAGCACAGCGAGTTAGGGCATGATGCAGCAAACTGTGGCAGCGGGCTAGCATTGTTTTTGCAAGGCCCTCAAGCTAAGAATTAAAAAAAAAAAAAAAAAAAAAATCTTTAACACATTGTAAAAAAACAAAAACAAAAACAAAGAATATGTGATAAAGATCCACAGGGCCCACAAAGCCTAAATGATTTACTGCCTGGTACTTTATAGACATGATTTGCCAACCCCTGATTTAGAGCACAGCCCTGCAACAGACAGTCTGATTGAGTCCCCACCCACGACTTACTAGCTGAGGACTGACTCTGGCCAAGTCTCTCGCTTCCTTAAGCAATCTGTTCTGTTTCTTCTGTAGCACGGGGCCAGTGAGGGTGCATGGAGGGTCGTTACCCACTGGGCTTTGCTTTTTTTCCCTCCCCTATCTGAAGACGGAGGAGCTTGAATGGTCTCATTGCACGTGTGAATCAAGACAGGCTTGTCACCAGTGTCCTTGTCCCGGGCTCCATTTGTGGCCCTGGGTGTCAGGCTCATAAGCTGGCTCTGCCATCTTGCTGGAGAGACGGGGGGCACACACACCAAAGCCACTCCCTCCCCTGCCCCCCTCCTGCCCCCATACCGCAGCTTGCCAACCTGGTGCACTTGACCTCAGTGAGAACAAAACAAAACAAAACAAAACCCTAAAAAATCTGGCTTCAGGTGAAGAGGCTTGGAATTTAGAACCTTGAACCCGTCGTTGCCATGTGACCATTTTAAATGTTAGCTTCTAACTGCCTCCCCCTCTTTGAACTACCCATGTCTGGGAGACTGTGGCCCAGCAGGGTTGGGGAGGTGCAGTCGGTGATGACACATGAATGGACTCAGTTGTGCCTCTGGCCTGGGGTTGCTCAAGACTCGGGGGTCAGAGGTTCTGAGCAGCACAGGATCCTGTGGGTGATGGATCCAAGAGGTTCTGAGCAGCAGGGGATCCGAGGATGATCTGAGGGTCCCAGGGGCGTGCACGGAACGGGCTGAGCCTTCTGTCCAGGAGGTTAACGGGCTGTGGCAGCCAAGGCGATAACTAGAGAGGCCCGCGGCCCTCTCGTGCAGACCCTTGCGGGTCTCTGCTCTCGGGGATCACGACCCCCGAGGAGGGGCTGCCCCTACCTATACCAGCTCCACACCAGCCTTCGTTAGCTACCCCGGAGCAGTGTGTTTTTATGGTCCCCGTGGATGGACTGGGAGCCTGTCCAGCCCGCGGATGCCCCAGATGTCCAAAATTTCACTTGCCCTTCCCAGGAGGAATTCCGACTTCTTTGTAGCCGCCGGTCAGCGCTAAGAGTGACTTTAAGATGATGGAGCTGCAGGAAGTGAGCTGGTTTGTTCCCCGCAGGTTCCCTGCCAGAGGCCTGCACTCACTCCAGCCCTCGCGCCCCACCACCATCGGCTGTCCGCGGAGAACACAGATGCTGGCCGCTCCCTGGGGGTGTCGCTGTGCACAGAGGTAGGCCCACAGCCTCCCCATTTCAGGCGTGGCCCTTAAGCATGGACCCAAGAGGAAATTATCTCAGGTGAAATAACGGAATTGTGGTTATGGGTTGTTTTTTTTCCTTTTTTCAAGTCCTTATCTCTTAAGAGCACACACAGATGCAATGAGGTGGTATCTGGGTCTGCCACCACAAAGAGGAAGTGGGAGTTTGAGCTGAAGCAAGGGTGCTGTGAACGGCTCCCTGTTGGAGCTGGGTGCCGGCACGTGGGAGCGAGCTGTCTGCTTCTGCGTGTTTCCACTGCCCTAAGTTAAAAGGAGAGAGAATACACGTGAGGCCGTAAGCGTCTGAGCAGCTCGAGCTTCCGCCTTGGCTCTAGCATTCCTCGCTGTGAGACCTGAGACAAGAAGGAGCCCCTGTTTCCGAATCTGTAAAACGGGGCTGATCACAGCTGCCTGGGGACGTTTTCCAAGAAATAACGCACGGAAACCATTTACTCTGCCACCCGGAACTTGATCGGCACCCGTAACACCTGATCTGGTGGGGGGCCTGGGCCAGTGGACCCCTGGCTGACCATTTCAGGGAGAGGGTGTGGGTCCACTTCCCTCAGTGGACACACCGCCCCTGCTTTTGGTTAAACCACCTTGGCTCCACCAAATCTTCGGTTGGCCCGGAACTTTCTTGGCAACGGTTTGGAGCTAGAATCAGCCGTCAGATTCCTCGGTGTGATTTCTGCTAAAATATGAGATGGCTGAAGCCAATCCAGTTACTTGTTTTTATACATTTTCTTCGGGAATAATTGTTAATTCATAGGAAGTCACCACGGATGTCCCAGGGAGGTCCTACGTACCCTTCACTCAGTTTCCCCCAGGGGTGCCACATCTTTGGCGTATCCGTAGTACGACGTCACAACCACTAAAGGGACTGTTGGTACAATCCACAGGGCCTGTTCACGTGTCGCCAGTTTGACACGTACCCATTTGTGAGTCCCCTGAGCGTTACTGTCACACCCAATTCCCGGAGAAGTTAAGTGGCTTCCTTGACTCACCGGCTGATATGTGGCAGAGCCAGGACCTGAGACCAAAGTTGTGCACTGCACCAGCAGCCCCCGCCTCGCTCTAGAGGTGGCTGCTGTTAACCCAGGCTCCCTGTGTTCTCTTGTAGGTGAGCCCAGGCCAGCATGGGGGACTCCAGGGACCTTTGCCCTCACCTTGACTCCATAGGGGAGGTGACCAAAGAGGACTTGCTGTTCAAATCTAAGGTAAAGGGTCAGACCTTGCAGAGCTGGGGCCCACACCCAGGGCCACTGCGTTCCTAAGGTACAGGTGTTTCCAAAGGAAGGTTTGAAAGAGTTGAAGAACCGGCTTCCCGACAGTCTCTGCTTAGCGTTTTGTGTAAATGGAAGGGCTGGCGTCTGTGGGGGAAGCTTTCCGGGGGCTGCGTCCTAACAGCCATTAATTACCGCTTAGATCATTCCATCTGGGAGCCACTAGTGCCCTGTGCATTAGCTGTGGAGCCTTTCCAAGGCAGGGAACGAATCGTGCTCTGAGAGCCCACCGGCATTTTGACAAGCGTGACCCGAGGAGGGTCTGGGGAGGCCCAGAGCCAGAAGGTGGGCTTCTCTGAGTGGGAAGGATGTGTCTTTTTTTGTTAAAGTGTTTTGAACGGGTAATACTTTTCTCTGGTTCAGAATCGAGCAATATAAAAGTATCAATGTCAATAAATTTTTTAAAGTAGAGGGGTGCACAGCTAGCTCGGCTGCTAGAGCATGCGAGTCTTAATCTCAGGGTTCGAGCCCCACATTGGGTGTGGAGCCTACTTAAAATAAAAAATTTTTTTAAAAATTCAGGGGTGCTTGGATGCCTCAGTCGGCTAAATGTCCAACTTTAGCTCAGGTCATGATCTTCCAGTTTGTGAGTTCGAGCCCCACATCGGGCTCTGTGCTGACAGCTCGGAGCCTGGAGCCTGCTTCGGATTCCGTGTCTCCCTCTCTCTCCGCCCCTCCCTTGCTCATGCTCTGTCTCTCTCTCAACAATAAACATGAGAAAACGAAAAAATAAAATGAAAAAAAATCATTGTCAAGACATCCTCCTCCCACCCTCCTATTCCACCTTTAGGGAGCCTTTTACATTAGTTTCTTTTATACTTTCTCAGAGTTTGTTTATGCAAATACATGCAAATATGCTTATTTTTCATTTCCCCCTTCATTATGTAAAAGGTAACACACTATACTATAGATGCTTTTTTTGTTTGTTTTCTTGTTTTTAATTTATTTATTTTAGAGAGAGAGGGAGGGAGGGCGGGCATGAGGGAGGGAGGGAGGGGCAGAGGGAGAGGGAGACAGAGAATCCCCAGCAGGCTCAGCACTGTCAGCGCAGAGCCTGGTGCAGGGCTCGAACCCACTAACCGTGAGATCATGACCTGAGCTGAAATTAAGAGCCGGGTGCTTAACCAACCGAGCCACCCAGATGCCCCTAGACACTTTTGCAACTTGCTTCCTTCACAGGACAGTACATCTTTCTGGAGCTCTTTCAACCCTGGGCCGTGAAGACCGCTTTGTCCTAGTTTGCCCTGGAGTTGCACGGCATCTCGTCGTGTGGACCCCGTAACTGAGCCTCTGCGGGTAGACACCCAGGCTCTTCACGCGTGGTGAATGTGGTGCCGTGATAAATGGCCTCCTGGAAGTGTTGTCGCACGTGGGGGCCGAGCGTGTGGGGGGCACACTCCGGGCAGCGGCGTCTAGAGTCACGTTCCTAGACAAATTGCCGGCTCACTCAGCCTCCCTGTCCCAGCAGGTCCTGGGTGGCCTTCGGCCTGAGCTGGTTCAGCCTGGGCCTGCGGGAGGGATCTTCAGAGTGCCTGTGGCTTCTTTCGAAGTACTTTTCGCCTCTCGTGTGGTCTGGAGGAGGGCAGAGCGAGGCTGTGATGCATTCGCACTAACGCTGGGTTCTGAGTCTGCACCAAGGAATGAATGAGACAGACCGAGGGGGTTTTCCTCCAGAGGAGGCAGGAATAGGGGGATCCGAGGGCAAAGAGGAGAGCGAGGAGGCGCGATCCGGGCCGGGCCGCGGCAGCCTTTCGGAAGTGGTAGGTCCTTCTGGAGCAGAAGGACCGAGAATGTCTGGAACGTCTCAGGCCTGTATTTCAGAGAGCATGTGTCCCGCCCTTCTCTGAGCACCCAGAAATCTGCAGAATGAAACAAAGATTGTTTTAAGATACCAGAAGGGGCAGGGAGGTGAACAGATCAGGCACAGTGCAGGGGACGGAAATGGCCAAGAAACTTCTGAAAGAAGGTGCTCAACTTCACCAGTGAGCGGGGACATTGCTGCGGATCGCGAGATGATAGCATTTTTCCTCTGCCGGACAAACCACAGGCCGATCTGACCCGGGCTGATGGTGATGGAGGGGAGGAGACCGCACGCGTGGTGGGGTGAGGTGGGCATTCCTGTCACTTCGGGGACACAACTCCCCGTGTGGGAGTTTATCCCATGGAGGTGCGAGTACCAGTTATAAAGACACAAAGACAGGAGTATTTATTGAGCCTTACTTGTCAAAGGAGAAAACTGGTGGCAGTCTGAATACTCATCAAGAAGGGAATGGGTGAGGGACGCCTGGGTGGCTCAGTCGGTTAAGCATCCAACTCCAGCTCAGGTCATGATCTCGCAGTTCCTGAGTCCGAGCCCCGCGTCGGGCTCTGTGCTGACGGTTCGGAGCCTGGAGCCTGTTTCGGATTCTGTGTCTCTCTCTCTCTCTGCCCCTCCCCTGCTCATGCTCTGTCTCTCAAAAATAAATAAATGTTAAGAAAAAAAAATTTTTTTTTAAAGAAGGGAATGGGTGAATTACGGTGTGCCCGTAGCGTGGGGCACCGTGTCATTACCGCAGACGGTAAGATGCAGTGTCTGCGTGCAGACTTGGAAAGATGACCATGAAAAGGTGACAGAAACGTGTCAGAGAAACGTGTATAGTATGATCTCGTTTTTCCTAAAAATCACACCCCCTCCCCTAAGTGTATGCATATACGTTGTATGTGAAAACACGGAGGGATATGCCTCAGGTTGTTCCAGCATATGTATTTATTAGACGTTATATACTCTCCCTGAGATCGTATACAGCATCTATGTGTCGTTTGAACTGTTAAAACAGACCTCCAGGGCCCCTGGCTGGCTAAGTCAGTAGAGCATGTGACTCTCGACCTCGGGGTCTTGAGTTTGAGCCCCGCGTTGGCGGTGAGCCTGCTTACAGAAAAAAACCAAACGAGCAGAGGGTGCTGTCGTCATTGAAAAGACTGAAACAAAAAGGAAGCCCTGGAAGAGGGAAGTGAATTGTGAAATCAGAAAATCAGAAAAGAGGTTGCAAGTTCGGGAAGGTCGGGGGCTGCTGCCCCCAGCGTCCTCAGCGGGAGACCCTGAGGCAGATCGCGGATCTCAAGTCCCACCTTCTTGACCACAACCCTACGGGGACCTCCAGGTTTCGGGCCCTTTACCGATACAGCTAGAAACTGGGCTTGGTGAGAACACAAAATCCCCGCTGAGACGTGAGTGGGGGGAAGCCCACTTTCCTGTTGGGGGGCGCCCTGTGACCCAGGCTCCTCTGCTTCGCCTCTTGACCTGCTCTGTAGCCGGGCCTGCCCTCTGAGCCTCGGTTCCTCATCTGTCCAAAAGAGCTGCTGCGCACACTGGCAGGGATTGCAGGAGCGAGGTATGAAGAACTTAGCCGTGGTCATCCCTGGCAGGTGGCGCTCCGGCTCTGACAGAGCCTCGCGTCGTAACTGCCGTCAGAGCCGGCACTTAGAATCCGCCTCACGGCTGACGGGGTCACCTTGGGCATTGGGGAGCCTCAGTTGGGAATTGCTGTTTTAGACACGTGCAGCAGACAAGATTATTTAAGGCACGATTTAAGTTGTAACGAAGAGACCCTGAAATACAGCACCTTAAATGAGAGCGACGCTTCCTTTTCTGTCATAGGACAGTCCGGGCATACGTACGATGGCAGGGCAGCCCCTCCCTTCCCAATACATGGCTTTCATTTCTGAGTCCAAGGTGCTTGCCCCCGCTCCTGCCGTCCCATCTGTGTTCCAGTGGAAGGAGGAGGAGGAGCGGGGCAGGGGGATGCACAGCCCGGAAATGGCACGCGTCGCTTTCGCTGTCATCTCATTGACTAGAACCGAGCCCCAAGACCACAGTGGGGCCGAGAACCAGGCTGCAGCTGGCCGGCCGTGGGCTCGGCCCAAATCCGAGCATCCTGTTGCTAAAGCAGGAAAGGGGGACACCGGTAGACAGGAAGCAGGCTCTGTCACCAGAACGCCCGAAACCTGGGTGTTTTCTGTGTTCATCAAATGTATTGGTGTCCCTTGGGGCGCCTGGGTGGCCCAGTCGGTTAAGCATCCAACTCTTGTTTTCGGCTCAGGTCACGATTTCATGGTTCGTGAGTTCGAGCCCCGCGTTGGGTTCTGTGCTGACAGTGCAGAGCCTGCTTGGGATTCTCTCTCCCTCTCTCTCTGCCCCTCCCCACTTGCAGTCACTCTCTCTCTCAAAAATAAACTTTATAAATACATACATAAATTTCTTTAAAAAAAAAAACGTATTGTCCCAATTTGTACTAGGCTCTGTGAAGTCACAGAGGTAGACAAAACAGACCGTCCCTCTTTCATGGAGCCCAGAGTCTAGGTGGGAAGAAAGGCTTACACAGTCATCAAAGGAAGAGTCGAGGGTGCGATAAAATGCGTATTAACAGGTCTGTTTATTTAAGTTTCAAAGCATTTTATTAAAAATGTTTTTGTAGCACGTAGGGAAGCAAAATACAAACAGTGAAGCGTAAAGGGCCCTGTGAGGAAGGACATTTAGATCGACAGGCTGGTGAGGGCCTTTCCGAGGCAGAAAAGCCTTTCAGTGGAAAGCTACGGGGTACAGCCGTCGGCGTCCAGTGGGCTCTGTGTGTGATGCCTCTGTCTGGAGCGGCTCCCTGACCGCTCACACTTGGCTCTTTCCCTCCCCCTCCCCTTGCCCAGGGAGCCTGTCAGTCGTGTGGTGTTACTGGACCGAACCTGTGGGCCTGTCTCCAGGTAAAGTACCCTTGCCACTGTTGGGGGCCTGGAGGTTGGTCTAGACTCTGGGCTGGGAATGCCCGCCTCTGGCGGGCACTGCTGGGATCGTTGGGCGGGGACACGGGGCATCGATGTCTCAGGTGCACGGCCTGAGCCAAGAGGGCGCCAGAGTCAGCAAGTCCCCCTGCTGGCTGCCTGCCTGCCCGGGCAGCCATCAGGAATGTTGAGAGAAAACAGCAGGTTGTGCAGGACTCCGGACCAAATGATCCCATGTGCACGAAAGGCAGAGGTCTGTATGTGCATGTGTATGTGAGACTTGATGGAGGCATCTTGGCTCTGAGCCCTGGCTCTTCTGCGTAGTGGCCTGTCCCTGGGCCAGCCTGGGCCTTGTCACCCCACCTGTAAAGGAGAGGTCACTGTCGCTGGGCAGCTGTCCCCACGTGGTGGGGCTGCGGTGGATTTGACAAGATGACCCCTGCGATGGGTCTAGCAAGGTGTGCGGTCTGTGGACAGGATCCAGGAAAATCCAGTCGTGGTTCATTGTTACTGCTTCTTAAAGACAGATGTATCACAGCGTGGCCACTTTCTATGAGGAGCAGGATTTGGGACGGTTTTCATTTTTTTCTCTGGAATTCTTACAGCCTTTTCCACAATTTCCTACAAGTACATATTTATTACATTTAAAATCACATTGAAAACGGCTACTACTTAAAATTTCTTTGAAAACAAATCCAAGTAGAAAAGAAGAAAAAAGGACACATGGGCCACCAGGGGACTCTTCCGGCCTCGGCCTTCAGGGCCCGTCACCCAGTTCTAAAGCAGATTGCAGAATACCGTCTGGGCCCTTGGGGGACAGCAAGAAACGTGTGGCATGGTCCTGTGTCCTGGGAGCACCCCCAGCAGGAAGGGATGTGTCCTTTGTGACCGGAAGGCCCTCACAAGGCCATGCGGTGCTGACCTCTTGTGGAGAAGCAGGCTGATCGTTGGGCTGCAGGCCTGCGGTGGAGGCACTTGCTGGGCCTGGTGGGTGGCTAGCTTTGGGACAGGGAAGTGCAAGGCCAAAGGCAAGGCCATCAGAGACCTGCAGGCCCCCTGTGGGTCCTGAGTGGGTCTCGATTACTGGCCCATAAGGAAGTAGGGGAGAGGGTCTGGGCGCCACACGGCTTGGCCCGTGTCTTGCTGGGCCCCTACCTGGGCTTTTTTGTAGGAGGCCAGTAGCCCAGGGCACCCTGTCCACCTTCCTCAGCGGGCAGGGGCGGCTTTTAGGGCAGCAGTCCTTTCCAGCTGGAGCTTCAGGTACATAAACACGTGTTCCTGTGGGGTGGCAGGGCCTCAGGCCTGGTCTTGGCGGCGGAGATGGTCCAGCCCCCATCCTCTCTCCTTCCCTCTCTCCCCAGGTCTCCTGCTCCTATGTTGGCTGCGGAGAATCCTTCGCTGACCATAGCACCATTCACGCTCAGGTGAGCGCCGTGGCCGGGAGTGTGGGCCCTGCGGGCAGACGGCCCAGAATTCAGACCCCGGCTCCAGCCACCTCCCAGCTCCAGCTGCCCGCTCTGGGCCTCGGTGGCTATGTCTATAAAATAGGAACAGGCCTAGCAGGGTTGCTACAGAGATACCAGAGCTAATGCAGGTGCACGCATATCACAAACGCAGGTGATTGGTCAATGGCAGCCCGTGGCCTTCCTGGCTGGAGGGTGAGCATGTTCTCTGCTTCCAGGCCTTTTACTGAGGCCGCTGGATGCAGCCTCAGGGCACCTGTTAGGCCAGTGTGTCCTCAGCCTCACTTTGGATCTTGCCCTCTAGGCAAAAAAGCACAACCTGACAGTGAACCTGACCACGTTCCGGGTGTGGTGTTACGCCTGTGAGAAGGAAGTGTTCCTGAAGCAGAGGCTGGCAGCACCCCTGGCGGGCCCCTCGCCCAAATTCTCGGAGCAGGTAAGGGGGTGCAGGGGCGTCAGCGTGGTCGGTAGTGACGTGTTGGGGGCAGGGCCTTGTGACCCAAGCGTCGGGGGAGCGGGGATTGGTGGGTCCCAGATGGCATCTGTGCCTGGCCCGTGTTCTCAAGTGCCAGCGAACCCTTGCTGAGCCCCGGCTGTGTGCCAAGGCCCACACGGGGTGGGGGTTGAGGACACAAAAGTCCTCCGGGAAGGGAGTTCGTTCCCAGGCCGTGGGCGGGCCGCGCGCAAGGGCAGGGCTTGACCGAGCCTGGGCCTGGGGCCGGTGCAGATGCTTCCGGGCCTGTGGCGAGCCCCCGGCACCCCCCAGCCCTAAGACAAACCCTGTCCCCCGGGGAATGCCGAACGGTGACCTGCGGTTCGCTTCTCTGTGGAAAACACCAGAAACCCCCCTAACGAGGCACTGAGCAGGGCACCGTGGGGCACCTAAAGGTGGTAGGCCGGGCAGACCCACGCACGGAGGGTCGCCTCGGGCTCCGGTCAGTACACAGGTCGCGGGGTTGGCCGGCTGGAGTCGGAGCTCGGGGAGGCCTGAGCGTGTCTCTTCCGCGTTTACACAGCGACCGTCACGTAGTAGGTGCTCAGTAAATGTTTACGGAACACGTTTGCAAGCGTGGCAGCTGTTTATGGTTATTCACAAAAAAGGCTATACAACAGTGTGCATACGGTATCTTGTTTTGGGGCGTGTGTATATGAACGGTGAAAAACTTACGCAACCGCGTACAGACTTGACAGTGGTCGTCTGGATTGTAGGTTGTGATTCGCTGTTTCTATTTTTTTGCAAGTTTATTATAACTACGTTTTTATCAGCGTCAGTAAAATACAAGATGCCAGAGCCATCTCTTTCCGGGGTATCCTCGGCTCAGATGGGCCAATGCGGTGTGGGCTGGGGGCGGGGGCTGGGCGACTGGGCTTCCTTTCCCCCTGGGGAGCCTGTGGGCCTCTGCCCCCCACCCCGTCTTCCTCGCCTCCCCAGTTTCCTCACTCGGTCTCTCCCGCAGGACCCTCCGCTGCCCTCGCACCCTCTGAAAGCTGTCCCTATTGCCGTGGCCGACGAAGGAGAGTCCGAGTCAGAGGATGATGACCTGAAACCTCGAGGTAGCCGACCCCAGAGCTGGGGGAGCTGTCAGGCCGGGCCGGGGGCCTCCACGCAGGCTGGGGAGTTCTGTGGCGCATTGGGCCGTGTGGGCGGGCAAGGGCGGCGTGACCGACGGGCCATAGAGTGTGGTGGCTTCTTCCCTTGGGGTGCTGGCCGTCCAGCCGAGTCCTCGTGGCCTGCCGGTCCTCATCCCCGGTCTCGGCATGTGACCCCGGGCAGGCCGGCCCCCCCACGCCCGGCCTCCTTGCCTGTGCGACGCGGACAGTGGGCCGGGCTGGGTGGAGGGCAGAGCGGTCCGTCTGAAATGCTCGGGCGCCCACAGCTACCGTGAGCAGGAGGCGCAGTAACCTAACCTGGCAGCCTTCTGGGGCGGGACACCAGCCACCCACGTCCTCCTGTGGTTGGGTCCTGGCGGCTCATCCGTGAGCGGTGGGACCCTCACCCTCCCTCCCCGCTGTGCATTGGCTCCCTAGGCCTCACGGGTATGAAGAACCTCGGCAACTCCTGCTACATGAACGCCGCCTTGCAGGCCCTGTCCAACTGGTAGGTTGTCACCTCGTCTGGGAGCCGGGAGGCCAGGACCTGTCCCCAGATGCCCCGGAAGTAGCGGCAGCAGCCCCCACGCTGTGCTGTGTATGTTGCCCACAGATGCATGTATTTAGACGTGTATCAGCCCCCCCTTGGAGCACATGTGCCCTTTGACCCAGCAGCCCCCCTTCCGTCAGTTAGTCCCGGGAAGGCGACCTGAGACGTGGCGCATGGTGCCTGTACCATGTTCGTGTTCTGTCGTTTGTAGGGAATGATCTGAGGGGGCTCTGTCGGTTAAGCGTCTAACCCTTGGTTTCGGCTCAGGTCATGATCTCACGGTTCGTGAGTTCAAGCCCCGTGTCAGGCTCTGCGCTGACAGCTCAGAGCCTGCTTGGGATTCTCTCTCTCTCTCTCTCTCTCTCTCTCTCTCTCTCTCTCTCTGCCCCTCCCTTGCTCATGCTCTCTCTCCCGTTCTCAAAATAAATAAAAAACTTAAAACAAAATAAAGGCCAACTTTGCAGTAAGTGTAGGACAGTATTTTCCTGAGTGGGAAGGGGTCAGACTATGGCAAGGGGGAGGAAGGAAGTTATAAGTTTTGTGCGGTGCAATCCCATTGGGGGAAAAAATTAGTCATTTCTACCTCGGGTAGGCTGTTAAGTCCGTGAGGCCAGGGCATTTCCTGCGCCCGGTACACAGATGTCCCACCTGGTGGGGACTCAGTGCGCATATGTGTGAAGGAGGGAGGGGGTGTCTGCAGGAAAGTCTGGAACACTATGCACCTAAATGTTCGGGGTAGCTGTCTTCACGTGATAGGATTAAAGCCCTTTATTAGTGTTTGCTCATCCAGTCTTTCTACAATGAATACGTATTTCTTAAGTAATGAGATACGTTTTTAAAACATGAGGGAAAAGGAAGATGCCTTCAGGTTCGGGAAGGTTCCACAGAACGGGCTGGTGGGAGCAACAGGTTCTGGGTCCTCTCTTGTTGGTGCAGCGACAGCCGCGCCCTGACCCCAGGGGCCCTGAAGCGGGAAGCTCGGCAGCCCTGGGAGAGGGAAGGGGGCCGTTTCTGCGTCGGGGGTGTCCATAACAAAGCACGACAGTCAGGGGACTTTATTTTATTATTATTACTATTATTATTATTATTATTATTTTAATTTGTTTTTTATTTATTTTTGTGAGAGAGAGCGGGCTCACACAGGGGAGGGACAGACAGGGAGAGAGAGAGAATCCCAAGCAGGCTCCGAGCTGTCAGCACAGAGCCTGACGTGGGGCTCAAACTCACAAACCCTGAGATCATGACCTGAGTCGAAACCAAGAGCCTGATGTTTCACGGACTGAGCCACCCAGGCGCCCCTGGCAGAACACTTTAAACAGCAGAGATGTATTCTCTGTCTGTTCTGGGGGCCAGAAGTCTGAGATCACGGTGCAGACAGGGGTGGCTGCTTCCGAGGCCTCTCTCCTTGCCTTTTAGATGGCCACCTTCTTCCTGTGTCATCTTCCCTCTGGGCATGTTTGTGTCCAAATCTCCTCCTTGTATGAGGACACCAGTCATATCGGACTTAGGCCCGCGCTGAGGACCTCATTTTAACCTAATTGCCTTGTTTCGGGGCCCCGTATCCAAATGCAGTCGTATTCTGGAGCGTTCAACTCGTAAATTTGGGGAGACACGATTCAGTCACGACAGGTGGGATCCTTCTAGTCATCCGCAGGCATTTCTGGCTCCGGGGGCTACAGGATGCCCCCCGCGTGAGCTTTTGCTTCTCTACCCAGCTCTTTCTAACCGATGCCACGCGCCCCTCCTTTTCTGACCCGGCTCCCTCCCCTGCCCCTAGCCCTCCGCTCACCCAGTTCTTCTTGGAATGTGGAGGCCTGGTGCGCACAGACAAGAAGCCAGCCCTGTGCAAAAGTTACCAGAAGCTGGTCTCTGAGGTCTGGCACAGGAAACGGTGAGTGACTGAGCCCCTGACCCTGGGCAGGTGCATGGGGCTGGGGACTTTCCTCTCAGCCCTTCGACTGGGTACCACCTCTGCCTTCGGCTGTTTGCTGTGCACCTGCCACGCCTCACCCGTGTGATTCTCATGGCAGTGCTGTTTTATAAACTGGGGAACCTGAGGTTCAGAGAGATTTCCGTGTCCTGCTCAAGGTCACTCAGCTTGTGAAGGGTGGCGCTGGCGTTCGAACCTGGCATTGCCCTGAGCCAGCGACCACTTCTGAGACGTGTGTGCTGAGGCCGAGACGCTCACCATGACTCCTCCGAAGCCCCAGCCACCCCGTCCACGTGGGAGAGAGTCTCATAAGTGGTGGCTGGTGCCGACAGGGCAGGGGTTCAGCGCAGCGCGAAACAAATTTAAAGACCGGCAGTTTGGATTAGACCCGTTTCTCTGGGAAACTTGGGAATGATTTAAAAGGAGCGCGTAGAAATATACGAAGTGTAAGAGCAGATTCTAAAACAGCGCGATGCAGTATAATTCCGGTTCTGCCAGGAGCCAAGTTTGTTTCCTGGGTGTATCTATTTCCATGGAATAAATCTAGAAATCTCAACGGCAGTTATCTCTGGGTGGTGCTATTATTGGTGGTGATGTCTCCTTGTTGGGCTTCTCTAAAATTCTGGGTTTTTCAAAAACGGACATGGATTGCTTTTGAAATGAGAAAAACCACAGGAAGTATTTCAGGAAAGAAACCAGTTTTCAGGTCGGCTTGTTCTGGGCTAACGGGAAATGATGCCGTCCCAGTCAGGAGTTCTTTGCCCGGCTGAGCCATGACTTGACATTTTCTTCCCTGACTGTGGGGAGGTGCGAGCCCGCAGGGACTCCTGGCCAAGTCAGCCGTTCCCAGAGTTACAGCAGACACCTCACTGAGTCCCATCCAGACCCCCCAGCTGCCTGCCCTACCGACCCTCGAGGGACCGCGTAGCCCCGAACGGGCCGGGCCACCTGCGCTAATGGGTCTGGTCTTCCCACAGCCCAAGCTACGTGGTTCCCACCAGCCTGTCTCACGGGATCAAGTTGGTCAACCCGATGTTCCGAGGCTATGCCCAGCAGGTAGGCCATCCGAGCTGCGCCGGGGACACCCAGGGCCGTTACCAGGCCTGGCTCTGAAGCCCAGACCGGCACGGAAAACACCAGCAGCGGCTCGGCGTTACGGGGCGGGTCCTCTCGCTGCCTGAGCCCTTGGTGTGTGTGAGGACACTGGAGCCCTCCAGGGCCTGCGGATATTCTCCCCACTCGGCAGGTCAGGAGGCTGGAGGCCGGGTCTCAGCTGGGCGAGTCACTGGCTCGGGTCACACAGCTGGTGCGTGGCGGAGGGGAGATTTGACCTCAGGCAGGCTGACTGCAGACTCCGGGCGCTTCAGCCCTGCGTTCAGAACGTGCTTTTTCATTCTTCAGATCACAGGCGGCATTTCACTTCTACTAAGCATTTCGTTACAAGTTTTTGTATGTCTAGAGAACCCTTTGGAAATCAGTGATCCTTCCCGTGGCGTGACCTCGGGGGACCAAGATGCAGTTGAATGCAGCCACCTGTATGCCCCAGCCCCAAGCCGAGCTGATCGTTCACATGTCTGGGTCCCTGCCCCAGACTGCCCGGCGGCCCGGGGTTTCACTGCTGGGCTTGCGGGGGGAGCTGGCCCTGTCTGGGTCACCATTCCTGCGGCCTGAATGCGGGGCCCCGGAACAGAGCCGCGGTCGGGCGGGGAATGCCTTCCGCCCTCTCCCTCGGCCCCCACCGCCCTGCCTGCCATCCCTTCCCTGGCTGAGGGCTGCTGGGCTTCCTCTCCTCACACCCTCTGTTGGAGGATCGCCAGGCTCCTGACCGAGAAGCCCAGCGCTGCCTGAATACCACCCTTTTTGGAAAGCGATAACATCCTCCACGATCACAGCTCACCATCTACCATTTATTGAGTTGTCACTCCCTGCCACGCAAGTACAGCCCTGTTTTTCCTGACAGAGCTCTCCTGAGTGAGCCCTGTCATCACCCCCGGGCTCTAGGTGAGGAGCTGAGGCTCAGGTCACACAGCACCTAGGGGCAGGGTGGGACTGAGGCCGAGCTGAGCCATTCATTCCTCAGGCGCTCTGTGAAGAGAAGGGCTGCCCGGCTGCTGCCAGCACACCCCAGAAACACCCCTTCCTCTGCTTCTTAGACATGGCACACGGATCATTTCTCAGTCCGAAACATAGATGCAGGCGTGGGCCTCTGCTAACAGCCAGAGGATGCTGTCCTGCTTCCACACATGGCTTGAGAGTTTAGCAACCCAAGCACAGTACTTTTGTTACAAGGAGAAGCCAGAAAGGAAAGGAGATGGCGTGTCAGAGGCCCGTTTCTTAAAAGAACCTTTCCGCGCCCCTGATAACGGGACCCATGAATCCTCTCCACTCCCTAATGCGAGATAAGCTAGTGGTTGCTTTCTTTGGTCTTCCAGTTTGACACTTTGCCCGAGGAAACCCTTCCAGAGTCCTCCCTTCCCTCTCCTGGAATGAGGCCCTGTCTCCGCATCTGTGACGTGAGGCTGAGGGGGCTTGGCTGGTTTTGGCCGCCGAGTGATCCAGCATCGTGTTGGTCAGGAGTTGGGCCGGGGGCACTGCTTCTGACACCAGGCACTGCGAGGGGCAGCGTGGCACCACGTGCCCCCGGCCGTTGGAGCCCAGCCTCCGCCACCACGTTCTGGCACCTTCTGTGCGTGCGCCACTCTCGGCGGGGCTCGGTGGGCGGGTGCTGGAAGCCTCGCTGCCCAGGCTTCCTGGTCGGTTTGGCGATCTAGTCAGAGGGCAGGATAAAAGTGCCGCTGCTGTGATTTGAGGCCCAAGAGGCCCGGAGAGACAGCTTAGACATATCGTCTCTGGGAAGGTGCGATCCTGCCTCCGGGGCCACGGCCACACTGGCGAGGCGAGGCGTGGGCATGGGAGCTGGCAGAAAGGCTGGGAGGGCAGGGGGAAACCAGAGGAAGGGTAGAGGATGCGGGCGGCCGGGCCTGCTGGCCGTCATCACCCCCACCCAAGTCGGCTGGGTCGTCACGTGCACACGCGTCTTCTGTGTCACCTTCATCCTTCCTCAGTCTCCCTGCCCGCCCCAGGGGCCCCGCCTGCAGGCAGCAAGGTGACTTTCGGGGCCAAACGTGGCTCCTTCACCGTCCCACACTGAGGTAGAGGCCGGGCTACAGGTGCTTATGGGCACGAGCTGGGGAGTCCCACGGCCCCAGTGGGGACCTCAGCTCTGCCACTTGACAGCTGTGTGACTGGGGAGGGGTGGCTCGGCCTCTCTGGCCCTGGCGCTCCTGGTAGAGCGGGGGTTGGGACGGAACCGCCACGGAGGCCCCCCGTGAGGGCTGCTCGACGCGTCTGCACGGGGTACCGCCGGGACCCACGAGAGGGGCCTGCTGGTGTCCTCGGCCGCAGGGGCGGCGGGGGTGCCTCCGCCCCGGGGGGGGACGGCCCCGTTGACGCGGCCGCTGCTTCCAGGACACCCAGGAGTTCCTGCGCTGCCTGATGGACCAGCTGCACGAGGAGCTCAAGGAGCCCGTGGTGGCGGCCGCGGCGGCACTGGCCGAGGCCCGGGACTCAGACTCGAGCGACACGGACGAGAAGCGCGAGGGCGACCGGAGCCCGTCCGAGGACGAGTTCCTGTCCTGTGACTCGAGCAGCGACCGGGGTGAGGGCGACGGGCAGGGCCGTGGCGGGGGCGGCTCGCAGGCCGAGGCGGAGCTGCTGACCCCCGACGAGGCGGGCCGCGCCATCTCCGAGAAGGAGCGCATGAAGGACCGCAAGTTCTCCTGGGGCCAGCAGCGCAGCAGCTCGGAGCAAGTGGACGAGGACGCCGACGTGGACACGGCCATGGCCGCCCTCGACGACCAGCCCGCAGAGGCCCGGCCGCCGTCGCCGCGGTCCCCCAGCCCCTGCCGGACCCCAGGTGCCAGACAGCCGCTCGGGGCCCCCGGCCCGCTCTGCCCGGCACCTCCGGCCCGCTGGCCTCTCCCACCCCCTGGGGTCCCACCACCAGAGCCTCGGGTCAGGGGTCGGCCACGTGGCAGGTGCGGACCCGCTCAGCCGGCCCCGCGCCTCGGCTGGAGACTGGAGCGAGGACGGGCATTCTGTGGGTTTGGTGGCGGCCGGGGTGGGCACGGGCCAGAGGAGGCGTGGCTGGCTCCCGCCTCGGTCCCTAGGAGGTGCTGGCGGGTCCTCTTCCTGACCCCGCCCCGCAGCCGGCGTGGCTGCCTCGGGCCCAACACAGCCCCCTCTCTGCCCCCAGAGCCGGACAACGAGGCCCACATGCGCAGCGCCTCCCGCCCCTGCAGCCCCGTGCGCCGCCACGAGGGCCACGCCAAGCTGGCCAGCAGCCCCCCTCGGGCGAGCCCCGTGAGGATGGGGCCGTCGTACGTGCTCAAGAAAGGTTGGTGGGGTCGGGTGGGGAGGGTGGGTCGGCAGGGCGGCCGCGCGCGCAGCTCGGGGCCGGGAGCGCGGGTCGTGCCGTGGCTGCCCCCGGGAGCAGCAGCGTCTCCGGGCCCTCCTAATGCCACCGGGTGCGAGCGGGGGCGCCCCGTCTCACTGACCGTGACCGAGGCGCTGGGAGGTGAACCGTGAGCCCCAGCACGTGACGCACGTAGGACCCCCCCCCCCCAGGTCCCGGCCAAGCCAGCCCCAGCACCGCCCCTTGCCCCAGACAGGCCGGAGGGGCTGGGCCTAGTCCCGTGCTGTGCCCCCAGCCCAGGTACCGAGTGCCGGCAGCCGGAAGCGGAGGGAGCAGCACTACCGCAGCGTCATCTCCGACATCTTCGACGGCTCCATCCTCAGCCTCGTGCAGTGTCTCACCTGTGACCGTGTGAGTGCCCTGGGGTGGGACGAGTGACGCGCCGGCCTTCAGTGCCCCGGTGCCCCTCCCCCAGGTTGGGGGCTCCGCCTGGTGCCCCCTGCCTTTCTGTAGGGGAGGGCCCCGGTCGCCAGACTAGGGGGCAGACCCTCCGCCCTATACCTGCCATCTGGTGGTGACTGGGGTTCGGGGTACAGATTCTGCTTGTTCTGGGCAGGACGGGACCCTAGAAGGTGGAGACCCAAGCTGACCTTCGACCCCACAGGTGTCCACCACGGTAGAGACGTTCCAGGACCTGTCGCTGCCCATTCCTGGCAAGGAGGACCTGGCCAAGCTGCACATCTACCAGAACGTGCCAGCCAAGCCGGGCGCCTGCGGGGACGGCTACGCCGCCCAGGGCTGGCTCGCCTTCATCGTGGAGTATATCCGGAGGTACCCCAGCCTTCCCGCCTGCTGGAGACACGACACTGCCCTGGCCCTGGACGGTGGCAGGCCGTAAACGGCAAAGTTCGGCCAGTTACAGGGCCAAGGGCAGAGTCCCGAAGGGCCCTTGAAGCTGGAGGACGTGCAGGTGTTGGCTGAGTGGGGCGGGGGCTTCCTCAGCCACGAGGGAATGGCCTGGGTTGGGTGGGCCCATGGATCTGAAGGCGGGTAATGACAGGGGAGTCACCCGGTGACAGCTAGAAAGGAGGGCGGCAGCTGGAGAGCGGGCCTGACCCTGCAGGGAGGGCGGTGGGCAGCTTTCCGGAGCCCCTGCTGTGTGCTGCAAAGCCCGCTTTATACCCGCCTGATGTCAGGAGCCCGTCTCTTCCCAGAGGACAGGCCAGTGGGATCAGGGCCCCTTCACACGTGAAAAGACAAAGCTCAGGGAGAAGTGATGTCATTCTCCCAAGGACCCTGGGTTGCCGGCTGGTGCTCCCAAGCGTTGGGACCTCTACCCGTTCCACCCACTGGGCCAAGGTGCCTCCCGGGGCCCAAAGCCGCCAGGTCCCAGTCTTGCCCAGGCCCTGGTTGCACCCCCGCCACCCCTTTTCTGTCTCCGTAGGTTTGTGGTATCCTGTACCCCCAGCTGGTTTTGGGGGCCGGTCGTCACCCTGGAAGACTGCCTTGCTGCCTTCTTCGCTGCTGATGAGCTGAAGGGTGAGTGGACCGGGCTGGCTGGGTCAGCATACGGCTGGTTTCTGGAACTCACTGTCAGTTATCGCCCCCCTCCCCGGCCCCCCCCCCCCCCCCACGGGGCGGCCCGGGCGGCGGGGGGCCCCCCCAGCCCTACCACCTGGTGGCCCTTAGGGCTTCACCTGGTTTTCTTTTGTTTAACAGTTTGGTGCACAAAAATGATATTGTGCTTTTAGTTTTGTGTTTCCTCGGTTATCGATGAGCTTGGACAGTTTCCATAAGCATATTGACTGTTGGTATTTCATATTTTAAAATGTGCTCTTCCTGACTTTTCCCATTTTTCTGTTGAGTGCTTGGCATCTTACCTTTGGGAAAGCTCTTTTTCTTAAAAACAAACAAACAAACACACCCCCCCCCCCCCCCAGGCGTGGGTGTGGTGAAATAAAGTAAACATGAAATTTACCATCTTAACCATTTTTTTTAATTGTATTAAAAATTTTTAAGTTCATTTATTTATTTTTGAGAGAGAGAGAGAGAGAGAGAGAGAGAGAGAGAGAGAGCGCATGAGCTGGGGAGGGACAGAGAGACAGAGACACAGAATCCGAAGCAGGCTGCAGGCTCTGAGCTGTCGGCACAGAGCCCGCCACGGGGCTCGAACCCACAAGCCGCGAGAACATGACATGAGCCCAAGTCAGTCTCTTCACCGATCCAGGCGCCCCCTGCCCATCTTAACCATTTTTAAATGTACTGTTCAGTAGCGTTCCCTGTATTCATATTATCATGCAGTCAATCTCTAGAACCTTCTCATCCTGCAAGGCGGAAACTCTACCCCTTAAACGGCAACTCTCTCTCCTCCCGTCCCACAGCCCTGGCGCTGATCATTCTACCTTCTGTCTCCATCACTTGATGTCTCTGGGGACCTCATCTAAGTCAGATCATATGGTATTTGTCTTCCTGTGACGGGCTCCTCATCCGTGTCGTGGCAGGTGGCAGAACCCCCCCGACCTTTCTGGAGCTGAATAGTACTCTTGATAGACGACGTCTTATTTCCCTGTTCCTCTCGCGGTGGACACGTGGGCTTCACTTCTGCTGTTTGGCTGTCGTGAACAATGCTGCAGTGAACCTGGATGCGTACCTGTCCCTTCTAGACCAATGTCATTTCCTTTGGATAAATACCCAGACGTGGGATTGCTGGATCATAGGGTAGTCCTATTTAACTTTTTGAGGAACCTCCACACTGTTTTCCGCGATGGCCGCGCCAATTTCTGTTCCCACTGGCGGTGCGCGCGAAGGATCCCCCTTCCCCACGTCCTTGCCTACACTTTGTATCTCATTTTGCAAAATCTCCTCTTGAGGAGAGCTCTTCTGACAGGTGTGAGGTGACACCTCATCGCGGGGTCGATTCGCGTTTCCCTGGGGATGAGTGATGTTGAGCAGCTTTTCGTGTACCTCCTGGCCACCTGTTTGTCGTCTTTGGAGAAATGTCTGTTCAGGTCCTCTGCCAGCTTTTAAACAGATTATCTGGGTTTTGATTTTGTTTTGTTTTGTTTTCTCCTATTTGTATGAATTCCTTACGTACTTTGGATATTAACCCCTTATCCGATACATGTTTTCTCCCGTTCTGTAGGTTGCTTCTTTACTTTGCAAATTGTTTCTTATGTTGCGAGAGCTTTTGAGTTTGATATCGGCTCGCTTGTTTATTTTTGCTTTTGTGGCTTGTGCTTTTGGTGTCCTATCCAAAAAGTCATTGCCAAGGGCAGAGTCCGGGAGCGTTTCCCCTATGTTTTCTTCTACGAGTTTTGTGGTTTCAGGTCTTTTTTTTTTTTTTTTTTTTAATGTTTATTTATTTTTGAGACAGAGAGACAGAGCATGAGTGGGGAGGGGCAGAGAGAGAGGGAGACACAGAATCCGAAGCAGGCTCCAGGCTCCGAGCCGTCAGCACAGAGCCCGACGCGGGGCTCGAACTCACGGACCGCAAGATCGTGACCCGAGCCGAAGTCGGACGCTCAACTGACTGAGCCACCCAGGCGTCCCTTCAGATCTTGTATTTCAGTCTTTAATCCATTTTAGGATAATTTCTGTGAGCGGTATGAGATACGGGTCCAGTTTCATTCTTCTGTCACAGGGGTGAATATCCAGTTTCCTCAGCACCATTTACTGAAATGACTGTCTTTCCCCCGTCAAGTATTCTTGGCTCCCTTCTCAGACAGCAGTTGCCCGTATATGCATGGGTTTATTTCTGGGTCCTCAATTCTGTTCACGGGCCTGTGTGTGTTTTTATGCCAGTGCCATACTGTTGTGACCACCGTAGCTTCGTAGTGTAGTTTGAAATCGGGACTCGGGACGCCTCCACCATTCTTGCGCAAGATTGTTTTGGCCGTTTGGGATTTCTTTTATAATTCTATGTGAATTTTAGGATTTTTTTTGTTTCTATTTCTGTGAAAAAGGTCACTGGGATTGTGACAGGGATTGCATCGAATCTATAGATGGCTTTGGGTAGGGTGGACATTTTGACAATATCTAGTATTCTGATCCGTGAATTTGTTTATGTATTCTCATGTATTGGGTCACCGTGTGGGAACAACTCAGTCTCCTGTCACTCTTACTACCTTCCCGATGCTGTTCCCCTAGCAAGCAGTTGTGTGACACCAGCTGGGTTTTGAGAATTCGCCTCGGTTCTGACACTGGAGACAGCATCACATCCCACAGGTTAAGGGTTCAGTCCTACGAGACTTCCCCTCCCCAACTTCAGAAGCCAGTCACGGGTCCTGGTTGTCACTTGTGTTTCTGACTGGCTGTAGCTCGAAGGTTCCAACCCTTTCTCCTTGGGCTTGATTAATTTGCTAGAGCCATTACCTGCTGGATTACTGGTTTATCGTGAAAGGATGTAGCTCAGGGGTACCCTGGTGGCTCAGTCAGCTAAGCGTCCGACTTCGGCTCAGGTCACGATCTCACAGTTCAGAGTTCGAGCCCCGCGTCGCGCTCTGTGCTGACAGCTCGGAGCCTGGAGCCTGTTTCAGATTCTGTGTCTCCCTCTCTCTCTCTGCCCCTCCCCCACTCACACTCTGTCTCTCTCTCTCTCTCTCTCAAAAATAAATAAATGTTAAAAAAACATATTTAACTCAGGAACAGCCAGACGGCAGAGCTGCACAGGGCAGGGTATGTGGGAAGGGGCAGAACTTTCTTGACCTCTGAGCTCGCTACTTTCCCTCGTCTCCACACGTCCGCCAACTTGGAAGGTGGCCAAACGCCATGCCATCGGGATTTTTATGGAGGCTTCCTCACGTAGGCATGATCAGTTATAAACTCCATTTCCAGCCCCTCTCTCTGTAGGACACAGGTGGGGCTGAAAATTCCAAACTTTTTTTTTTTTTAATTTTTTAACGTTTATTTATTTTTGAGAGACAGAGCATCTGGAGGGGAGGGGCAACGAGAGGGGAGGGGCAAAATGGGAGGGGCAAAGAGAGAGGGGAGGAGCAAAAAGGGGAGGAGGGGCAAAGAGAGAGGGAGACACAGAATGGGAAGCAGGCTCCAGGCTCCCAGCTGTCAGCACAGAGCCCAGCGCAGGGCTTGAATCCACAGACCGTGAGATCGTGACCCGAGCCGAAGTCGGACGCTCAACCGACTGAGCCGCCCAGGCGCCCCTGAAAATTCCCAACTTCTAATCATGGCTCCGTCTTTCTGGTGATCAGCCCCAATCCCAGAGCCATCCAGAGTCACCTTATTAGGACAAAAGTCACCGCCATCACCTAGGAAATTCCAAGGGACCTTTAGAAGCCTGCCAGGAAGTGGGGTCAAGGGGTCAAAGACCAAATAGCAGAACAGATGATGCTTCTAGTGCTCTTACCACTTAGGAAAGTAGAAGGACCTTAGGGAGTGTGAGCCAGGAACCTGGGGCAGAGACCAACAGCTGTAATTTCCACGGTCTCACGGCCATCTTTGTCCGTGTCTCTCATCGATGACATGTGGTTTCTGCGTACAGATCTTTCACCTCCTTGGTTAAACGTATTCCTGTGTGTCTTATCATCCTCAACCCGATTGTAAATGGGTTTGTTTTCTTGGTTTCTCATTCAGATATTTCACTGCCAGTGCACAGGAATGCCGCTGGTTTTTACGTGTTGACTTTGTGCTCTGCATCTTTACTGAATTCGTCTGTCAGCGCTAACAGTTTTTTGGGGGGAGTCTTTAGGGTTCCTGTGTGTAGGATCACGTCATCCGCATACAGACAGCCTGAGCTCCTTACCTCCTCTTCTCCTTCTTGGATGTCTTTTATTTCTTTTTCTTGCCTAATTGCTCTGGCTAGGACTTCTAGTACTAACTAGAATAGGCCTGGTGAGAGTGAGCGCCTTTGTTTTGGTCCTGATTTTGAAGGAAAAGCTGCTAGCTTTTCACCATTGAGGATGACATTGGCCGTGGGCCTGTCTTAGGTGGCCTCCGGTATGTTGAGGCGTGTTCCCTCTACACCTAACCTACTGAGACCTTTTATCGTGAAAGGGTGTTGAAATTCATCAAATGCTTTTCCTCTCTGGGTTGAGAGGATCATACGATTTTACCCTTTATCCTATGAACGTAGAGTATCCTGTGTATTGATTTGTGTGTGATAAACCGTACTTGCCTCCCAGGGTTAAATTCCCTTTGATCATGGTGTGTGAGCCTTTTAATATGATGCTGAATTCGGTTTGCTAGAATTTTTTTTGACGATTTTCCCGTCAACATTCATCAGGGATATTGGCCCATCGCTTTCTTTTCCTTTAGTGTCCTTATCTAACTTTGGTATCAGGGTGCTGCTGGCCTCATAAAATGGGTCTGAGAGTGCTCCCTCCTCAGCTTTTTGGAAGTGTTTGAAAAGGATTGGTGTTAATTCTTTTTTTTAAATGTTTGGTAGAATTCACCGGCAAACCATCTGGTCCTGGACTTTTGTTTGTTGGGAAGTTTTTACTTTGTACTACTATTGCAAGGTGGAAAGAACACTGCTCTGATCTCCTTATTACTGGTCTGTTCAGATTTTCTCTTTCTTCATGATTCAGTCTTGGTTGTATATCTCTAGAAATTTGTCCATTTCTTCTGGGTTATCCAGTTTGGGGTACAGCGAATTGGACACAGTGCCTCTTATGATCCTTTGTGTTTCTGTGGTGTCAGTTGTAAGAGCCCCCCTCCGTTTGTAATTTACTTGCATCCTCTCTGTCTCTGCTTTTGCTAATCTAGCTAAAAGCGTTTTCAATTTTATCTTTTCTGAAAACCGACTCTTAGTTTCACTGATCTTTTTTTTTCTATTGTTTTTTTCTCATCTCTGTTTATTTACGCTCTAATCTCTGTCATTTCCTCCCTTCTGCCAAGTTTGGCCTTAGTTTTTCATTTTCTCTTTCATCGAAAAAGGTTGTCTGAGATCTGTTTGCTTTCTTAATGTTGCCACTTATTGCTATGAAATTCCCTCTTAGACCTGCTTTTCCTGCATCCCATATGTGGGGGTATGTTATATTTTCATTTTCATTTGTCTTGAGATGTTTCCTGAGTTCCTTTTGAGTTTTTCTCTGACCCGTCAGTTGTTGAAGAGTGTGTTGTTTAATGTCCACATGTTTGTGAATTTTCTGGTTTTCTTCCCGTTAATGGTTTCTCGTTTCATACCGCTGTGTTTGGAAAAGATCTGGATACCATATCTGTCTTCCCAGATTTGTTCCAAGTCTGCTGTGGCCCAACAAAGGATCTGTCCTGGAGAATGTGCCGTGCACACTTGAGAACGTGTATTCTGGTGCCGTTGGGTAGAACGTTCTGTCTGTGTCTGTGAGGTCCACTTGGTCTGTAGTCCTTCAGGTCTGGTTCCCTTATTAATTTTCTGCCTGGATGATCTGCCCAGCGTTGAAAGCGGGGTGTTAAAGTCCCAACTGTTACCGTATTGCTGACTCTTTCTGCCTTTAGTTGTGTTAATATTCGCTTCCCATATTTAGGTCCTGTGGGGTTGGATGCGTATGTTTACAATAGTTACCTCTTCTTTTTGAATTACCCCTTTATCACCACATGGTGACCCTCTTCGTCTCTCCTGACAGATTTGGACCGAAAGTCCGTGTTATCTGATAATGTCTCCTTCCATCCCTCTCTCCCAGCCTGTGTGCCCTTAACACTGAAGTCAGTCTCTTGCAGGCAGCCTATCGGGTTGTGTGTCGTCAGCATAAATGATCATGTCCACTTCTGCCATTTCCTGTCCCCGCTAACCGTTGTCTGCATTTACTGCTCTAGGCGACAACATGTACAGCTGTGAACGGTGTAAAAAGTAAGTGTGTGTGTGTCCCGGGGCCTCTCCCCAGCTTCCCATTCCGACCCCTCCGTCCGTCTGTGTCCCGCGCACTTCCCCTGCTCGCCCGGGGAGTTTGACCCTGACCTCACAGACGTGCCCCTGTTGGGAGGGTGCCGCTCTCCCCCCACACCCGGACACTCACCGCTTCTCGCCCGTTGTCCCTGCCAGGTTGCGGAACGGGGTGAAATACTGTAAGGTCCTGCGGCTGCCCGAGGTGAGTGGAGCTGCCCCCCCCGCCCCGCCCCCGCCACGGCCTGTCACTGAGCATCCTTCCTCCCCCGAGAAGCCCGGGGCTGGGGAGAGTTGACCACTTCAGGGGGGAGTCCACTGCTTTGGCTGAGAGGCCTGCTGGGAGGGGTCTGGACAGCGACGTGGGCCCTCCCTCAGCTCCTCCCGCACTGTGCCGGTCCCAGTGGAACTGGGGCGGGCGTGGGGCGGAGGGTGCCACCCCGGGGAAGGTGGGTGTGCAGGGAGGCCTCTCTGGGGGAGTCGGTCTGAGTGGGCCCTGAGCGCGGGGGCTGTGTGGGCCTCGTGGGGGAGAGGGGGGAAGGAGCCGGTGGGCAAAGCTCCGAGGCAGGAACAGGCTCACTGAAACCCGGAGCAGAGAGGAGCGTTGCCCGAGAGGCGGGAGCTCGGGCCATGCCGAGCAGGTTTGGGACGCCCGTCTCGGCGGCCGGTGCCGTCGGCGTGGCCCTGCCGTCACCCGTGCCTCTGCCCGTGCCTTGCGGCGAGCCGGCTCGGCTCCCACGCGGGGCTCTTCCCTTGTTTGGGCGGCTCAGTGGGTGTGACCCATCCACCCCGCCTGGGCCTCCGGAAGGCTCCAGCCGCTAGGTTCCTTGTTTTCACCTGAACGGCAAGACCCGAGCGGACTGAACGGCGGGCCGGCGGGTGTCCCGGAGCCTCGCCTCGAGACCCCGCCTGGTTGCCAGGGTTCGCGGGGCCCCGGCCAGCCCCGTCTGGAGGGACCGACACCTGCCCCCGGCCCCCGCAGGTCCTGTGCATCCACCTGAAGCGCTTTCGGCACGAGGTCATGTATTCGTTCAAAATCAGCAGCCGCGTCTCCTTCCCCCTCGAGGGGCTTGACTTGCGTCCGTTCCTGGCCAAGGAGTGCGTGTCGCGGATCTCCACCTACGACCTCCTCTCTGTCGTCTGCCACCACGGCACGGCGGGCAGTGAGTCCGGCCGCCCCTACCCCTCCCCCTCCCCGTCCCCGCCCCCGCCCCCTAGGCCACCTGTGACCCGCCCGCCCCTCCCGCCGCAGGTGGCCACTACATCGCCTACTGCCAGAACGTCATCGACGGGCAGTGGTACGAGTTCGATGACCAGCATGTCACTGAGGTCCACGAGACGGTGGTGCGGGACGCCGAGGCCTACGTCCTCTTCTACAGGTGGGGGCCCGGGGCCGGGCCGTCGGGGCAGGGCCGGTGACCTGCGGGCCCGGGCGTCCCGCCCCCGGCCCCTGGGGCTTCCGTCGGGGTGGGCGGGGCCTGGAAGGGCCCCGGACTCGGGCGGCGAGGGCTTCAGTCTGCAGGAAGGAGCCCTGTGGCCACCGCGCGAAAGTGGGAGGCCCAAGGAGTCGAGCCTGGGCCTTCCGCGGCGGTCCCCGGGGGGGGGGGGGGGGGGGGGGGGGGGGGGG